TATATATATATATATACAAATATATATATACATATATAGATATATATATATATATATATATTCTTAAAGAACAGAAGAAGATCCAGAAGAAGAATTTGTTTGCATTTTTTGCCTTTCTATTCTTCTTTTTTTCTTTAGCTGAAATTTCTCTTTGCGTCTTTTTATTTCTTCTTCTGTCAAACTCTCCGCGGGTCTAAACAAATAAACACAAATAAATAAATATATTAAATAAATAAATGCATGCATACAATATACATAGCATGTATATATATTATATAGATAAACAGAAAAGTAAATAGATAAATAAAATAAACAAAGATAAATAAATAAATAAATAAATAGATTTTGAGGTTTTTGTTGCTGGTGCATGCACCTTACTCCAAACATTTATAATATATTTATTATCTATTTATGCATTAAAATATTATTATATTTCTTGTTTATTTATTTATTCAATCAAACTCAGACAAAAAATAAAACAAAACAAACATCTCATGCTTGTGGAGAAGCTGCAAGCCGCTGATAGAAAAACAAATAATAAAAATGAGAATAAAATAAAACAAAATAAAGAAATCATACAATAATATATATATATATATATTTATATACATATATATGTACTTCTACAGATAAATAATAAATACATATATATATATATATATATATGTTGATATTTATAGATTAAATATATATATATATATTGATATTTATAGATTAAATATATATATTTATTTAAATATTTATTTATATATTTATTTATATATTTATAGATAATGATGATATAAAAAGTGTTTGTGATATTCTATGAAAATCTCACTTGCGTCGTTGGCTTCTTGTCTTGTTATTATTTTTTGCTGTCTGTCTTCTTTTCTTTTTATTCTTTTTAATTAATTTGTTTTTATTATTATCTTTATTTATTTCTTTTTTTAAAATTGAAGAAGCTTCAGCTACGCGTTCAACGCTTCCCTGCTGTTGCTGCTCCCACCTCTCTTCTCTTTTTTTATGTGTCTGTGCATACACCGCAATCTCATATAACTTTATTTAAGTTGTTTATAATAAATTTTTAAAAAGAAAAAGAAAAGAAGATTAATTATTTATTATTAATTATTAATAATAATTAATAATGCATGTGCTTTTCTTTTTTTTATTATGAATTATGAATGATTAATTATGAATTGTTAATTATTAATTATTATTAATTATTAATTATTATTAATTATTAATTATTAATTATTAATTATTGATATTGCGTTAGAGGGAAACAAACAACTAAAAGTTGTTGAGGTGTATAGGCACCTTCGACTGAAGATGTTTTTCGAGATCTGCTTCAAAAATAAATATTTTGTTTGGGCATAAAAGACAGTGATATTTTCCTCTTGTAAATTTCGTCCTTTCTTCTTCTTCTTCTTCTTGTTCTTCTTCTTGTTCTTCTTCTTGTTCTTCTTCTTGTTCTTCTTCTTGTTCTTTTTGTTCTTGTTCTTGTTCTTGTTCTTGTTCTTCTTCTTCTTCTTCTTCTTCTTCTTCTTCTTCTTCTTCTTCTTCTTCACTATCTGTCTCTTCTTCTTTATCTTGTGTATTTTGTTTGATTCTTTTTATTTCATTGTCGTTTTGTTTCTTTGTTTTTTGTTTTTGTTTTTGTTTTTGTTTTTGTTTTTGTTTGTTTATTTTAAACTCATCTTCAGAAGCAGATGAATCTTCGCTAGGGAGATCAAGAGCCTTCATTACATCATCATCATCATCTTCTTCTACTTCTTCTTCTTCTTTATCTTTTTTTGTTTTTGTCTGTGTTGTTTCTTCATGTCTCTCCATTGCCTTTACAAAGCTGCGAGCGTCTTGAGCATAAAGTGCTGCTGCACGGCGTATAAGGGCTCTTCTTATTCTGGGGTCTGAAAGTGGTGATGGTTTGCTGCTGCTGCTGCTGCTGCTGCTGCTGCTGCTGCTGCTGCTGTTCGTATTGCTCTCGCTGTCTGAGTCTTCTTCGTCTTCTTCTTCTGTAGGAGATGAAGAAGAGGATAATTCATCATCATCTTTAATTCTTTTTGTTCTTTTTTCTGCTCTTTTATCTCTCTTTAATTTTAATCTTTTATTGCTGCTGCTTTGTTCTCTCTTGACGTCTTCGTCAGAGGAAGATGCTGCTGCTGCTGCTGCTGCTGCTGCTGCTGCTGATGCACGCCTTATGCTGCTTGGGGGCCTCGCTGGGGCCCCCGGGGGCCCCAAAAGACCAAATACAGCTCTTTTTAACATTTAAATGAACAAAAGAAAGAAAAATGAAGCTGCGGCCGCGTGCAGTTGTGCTGTACAGACAGCTGAAAAAACAAAGAGTAGAAGAAGAAGGCAGGGTTCAGCCGATCAATGGAAGAGGTAGGAAGAAGAAGAGAATTAAAAGACAAATGTAATTAATATTAATACAAAAAGAAACTAAAATTAAAATTAAAACAAAAAACAGAAAAAAAAACTAAGAAGAGAAACTCAAGTCGGCTGCAGGGACAGCGCTGCACTTTTTGTGTTTATTTTGTTGTAATTTCATTGAAAATAAATCAAAAGAATTAAATTAGACCAAATTAAATTAAACTATTTAACAAATATATAATTTTAATGTGCATTTATCTTTCAGCTGTATGTACACTGTGGGGCCCCAAGCCCTACGCATGCAAACTCTATCTGAAGCTATTTTCTTCTTTTTCTTGTTCTTCTTTTTCTGCTTCTTTTATTTCCTTTTTGTTTATATATTTTAATTTTAAATAATAAAATAATAATATTTAAATATATTGCAGCAAATTCTTTCTTTATGATGGCTATACGCCTTCGCAACAGCAGCAGCTTCTTTTAGAGTGATGATGAAGCAATAATAAATTAGTGGATATATAAATAATGAATAAATAAAGAGAAGAAATAGATAAACGAATAAACAAATAAATAAATAAATAAATAAATGTTTGTAGATATTTATATTCGCAAGAACGAAACAAAACCCAACAATACACAAGCAATGCAAAAACATCGATAAGGGGAGAAGTGTATATATATATATATATATATATACATATATATGTAGACCTATATATATATATGCACATATATATACGTATATATATATATATGTATACATAAAATAGATATATGCACAAGTATGTCTATATATATATATATATCATTATATGTAGATATGCGTTTCTACGACTAAATATATATGTATATTAGATGCATATATATGCAGTTTGCACATCTATCTGTAAACTACCTATACATACGGATAGACATATATATATATATATATATATATATCTAAAGTTTACATCTATAACTCTATATATCTACCTATATATATGCATGTGTATTGATTATAAAACCCCTGAATAATGTATATATTATATCTACGCTGTGCCTCTGCATAAATTTCAGCGGCATCGATATATAAAGTAATAAATATATAATAGAGCCTTCAAGAGAGAAGAAGAAAGCAATGCGTTGTCTGGTGTACACAACATTTTAATATTTATTGAGATATATTATTATTATTATTATTATTATTATATATTTTTCTGTCTCTCTACAAACCAGAGGTGCTTATACAGCACTCTTCTTATCTTTTCAGGTGTATGTACAAATCATTGCTCGTCTTAAGGAAGCAACAATTCGTTAACTAATATCTCTGTACAAAAGAACAAATACACTTAACGATACAAAAGCAGCAGCAGGCTTTGCTGCTGCAGCAATAGCAGCAGCTTCCTGCTGCTGCTGCTGCTGCTGCTGCTGCTGTTGCAGTGCGCAGCTCAGTATGCTTCCCACGCCGCCGCCGCCGCCGTTGCTGCTGCTGCTGCCGCTGCTGTTGCTGCTGTTCTAACTGCTGCTGCTGCTGCTGCTGCTGCTTGTATTGCATCTACACAATCACATCTATCTTGCATTGTTTCTGCTGCAGCAGCTGCTACATCTGCAGCTACATTACTCTCTCTCTTCTTCACCGTTGCCTCCTCCGTTGCTGCTGCTACTGCTGCTGCTGCTGTTGGTTGTGCTGCAGGTGGTGTTTGTATCATTTAGCTGGGTGACAACTGTTTCTCTATATTTCGTCGAATGCATGCACTCTTTCTTTGCTGTATATCTTCTAAGCAAGCCTAATAAACCAGGCATATAATAGCCTAAGTACATTTGCAGTAAACCCTCAGCAACTGCTACCCAAACTTCTTCTTCATTTCGAGACACTCCACGCACAATCAACTCTGCTGCTTCATCCACGTCAGGCCCTGCAGCAGCAGCAGCAGCAGCAGCAGCAGTGGTAGTAGTAGTAATAATAAGCAGCAGCAGTAGCAGCAGGAGTAACAGCAGCAGCAGCAGCAGCAGCCGGAGTAACAGCAGCAGCAGCAGTAGGCAGAAGTAGCAGCAGCAGCAATAGCAGCAGCAGCATATTATAGGGTAGCAATAAAAGCAGCATTAACAACAAAAACAAAAGCAGCGAAGAATCAAACAGCAGCAGCAAATACAAAAGAAGAAGTAAAAGGAAGCAGCATCAGCAGCAGCAGCAGAATCCACAACAGCAGCCAATGCAGCAGCAGCACAAAGAAACAAACAAACAATAAATAAATAAATAAATAAAATAAATAAATAAATAAATAATAAATAAAAGGCATACCTTTCTGCTGCCACTGCACTTGAATATCTTTCTGAAGCTTTTGCTGAATTAGCGGGTCGCACATCTTTGAGTGAATTTTTGTTTTAATATATCCGGGGTGTACAGACGTTATAAATATTTCTTTATAGTCATTTCCTCTTAAATCTTCTGAGAATAAACAAATATAAATAAATATATATCAAGTATAAGATATATATAATTTAAGTAAACTAATTAAACAGATATATACTTTAAATAGATTAATTTCTGAAAATATATAATTCACACAAAAAAAGAAATATACAAACATAAATAAAGAAGAAGACAAACAGCAATAAATAAATAGAGAGAGAGGCATAAAAGCAAAAAGTTTAACAAATTATAATCTTAAAACAACTACAAAAACAACAGTAAAAGAGTATTAAAATAAATAAATAATAAATAAAATAACAAACAAGAAAAAGATAAAAAGGTTTATATAATGAAAAATATAAAAATTTGATTGAGAGAAGAGGAGGCGAAAAAACAAAAAATATATTAAATAGAAACGCCGTTAAGAAAAAGAACAATAGACAAATAAATAAATAAATAACAAATAAATAAATAAATAAATGAATAAATTAATTAATTAATCAATTAAAAGGAATAAGCAAACAAATAAACTAAGGAGAGAGAGAGAGAAACAAACAAAACAAATAAACAAACAAACAAACAAACAAACAAAACAAACAAACAGACAAAACAAACAAACAAACAAACAAACAATAAAATAAAAAATAATAAACTAATAAATAATAATAAACAAAGCAAAGACAGACGTCTGAGTAAATTCGTGAAGGAGAGCAAAGCAGCTTTGCTGGTTGCATACGCATTAAAGCCTCCAAACCCAAAATATGCTGCAGCAGCAAAATCATATCAGGCAGCAGCAGCAGCAGCAGCAAAATCCATATGAGGCAGCAGCAGCAGCAAAATTCATATGAGGCAGCAGCAGCAGCAGCAGCAGCGAAATCATATGAGGCAGCAGCAGCAGCAGCAGCAAAATTCATATGAGGCAGCAGCAGCAGCAGCAGCAGCGAAATCATATGAGGCAGAAGCAGCAGCCGCAGCAGCAGAAGCAAAATGAGGCAGCTGCAGCAGCAAAACAATGTCATGCGGCAGCAGCAGAAGCAGCAACAGCAAAACAATATCATGCAGCAGCAGCAAGACGTAAAGCAGCAGCAGCAACGGGTAAAGCACTACAAGCACTTCGCACCCAGCCAATGCCGCTGCAGCAGCAAGAGCAGCCGCAGCAGCAGCACAAGCAGCAGCAGCAACACAGCAAGCAACAGCAGCAGCACAACGAGCAGCAGCAACAACAGCAAAACAAGCAGCAGCAGCAACAGCACAACAAGCAGCAGCAGCAGAAGCATCACAACAACACCAAGCATCAGCAGCATCAGCATCAGCAGCAGCAGAACAAGCAGGAGGAGGAGGAGGTGCAGCAGCAAATCAAGACCTGAGGAGGAGTTGGTGAATACGATATGCCCGCTGCCTTTCTGTTTAAAGTGCGGCAGCAGCAAATTCGTAAGCTGAACAGCAGCAAAGAAGTTAACCCCAAAGACATCGACTATAGTTTCTGTTGAAGGAAAGCAGCCTATCGCTAGCCGCCCTGCAGCAGCAAACAAACACAAAACTTTATTTATTTAGCTGCATATTCATCACATTATTATTGTTATTGTTATTATTGTAAACTCAAATACACCCCTCTCGTATTGTTGCTGCTGCTGCTGCTGTTGCTGCTGCTGTTGCTGCTGATGCTGCTGCTGTTGCTGCTGATGCTGCATCGCAAATATCAACAGCGAACGTGGGGGTGTATGTTGGTTAGCTAGCTAGCCAGCTGTCTAGATAGCTACCTACCCCCTAGCTAGCTAGCTATCTATTTAGCTAGCTAGCTGTGTAGATATCCACCTACCTAGCTAGGTATCTGCCCAGCTAGCTAGCTAGTTAGCTAATTATCTATCTATCTCGCCAGAGAGCTAGCTATCTATCCATCTATACGTCTATCGATCTATCTATGCCTATCTATCTATCCCGCCAGCTAGCTAACTATGCATCTATCTATCTATCCAGCTAGCTAGCTATCTACCCAGCCATATGTCTATCTATCCAGCCAGCTAGCTAGCTAGCTATATGTCTATCTATCTTCCCAGCTACATGCCCTTATACCCAGCTATATGTCTATCTACCTATCCAGCTAGCTATCTATCCATCTCGCTAGCTAGCCATCTACCTAACTAGCTAGCTATCCACCTTCCAAACTAGCTATCTACCTCCCTAGCTAGCTATCTCCCTATCTACCTAGCTATCTGTCTATCTAGCTACTTATCTGTCTAGCTAGCTATCTACCTAGCTAGCTATCTGTCTAGCTGGCTATCTAGCTAGCTAGCTATCTCCCTATCTAGCCAGCTATCTATCTACCTAGCTAGCTATCTGTCTAGCTAGCTATCTACCTAGCTAGCTATCTGTCTAGCTAGCTATCTACCTAGCTAGCTAGACAGCTAGCTAGCTAGCTAGCTAGCTAGGTACCTGCATTATTGAATAGGAAGTCGACGCCTCCTTTCCACTGAATGGCGCGATCTACCAATTGCTGCCAGTCGTCTGTCTCTTCATCTTCTTCCTGCTGCTGCTGCTGCTGCTGCTGCTGCTGTTTGTTAGTAAATCCTTTGGAGAGATCGAAGGGAAGAAGGAGTATATCAGTGTCTTTGAGTGTGCAGCAGCACCCATTGCTGCTGCTGCTGCTGCTGCTGCTGCTGCTGCTGGTTTTCTGCTGCTTAGCAGCAATTAATATACTTTGTTTTGCTGCTTCTAAAGAAGAGAGAGATCTGCTCGTTAATATCAAACCCCTTACACCTCGCCTCGCCAACTGCATAGCCAGGGCTACGCCTATCCCTGTACTTCCTCCTATAACAAATAAATAAATAAATATAAATAAATAAATATAAATATATAAATAACTATATAAATATAAGTATAAATATATAAATAAATATATAAATATAAGTATAAATATAAATATAATTAATCAATCAAATGAATGAAGGGATAGAGGTAAATTAATTAATTAAAACAAGTAAATGCAAACAAATAAATAAACAAACAAACAACGACAGAGACGACTAAACAACAATATACAAATAAAACAAATAGATCAAAATAAATAAATATATAAACATAAAAATAAATTATTTTTATCTATGTTGCGCTCACAGTAAAGAACAGCGTATAATAATACTATATAAAATATTATATTGTTGTTATTATTATATTAAAATAATAATATAGAAATTATTTTTTCATTTAATAAATTTAATCGAGGTAATACTAAAAAATACTAAGTACTAAGTACTGTAATATATATATAACTATACATATATATATATATATGCAGCTACATATATAACTCTATACACATTTATATATATATATATATGTAATATATATATATATATATATATATATATA